TTCTTAATGCACCCCAGGATCCCATTGGCCTTCTTGGCCACGAGGGCACACTGCTGCCTCATGGTCAACTGGTCGTCCACCATGACGCCCAGGTCTTTGCCTGCATGGTGCCCTATTGTATGTATGTTGTATAATCAGCTTGGGTGTAACTGAAGCACTGTGGAGACCTGTCCATTTCCTCTGCCTGATGCATAAACAATAATAGTGGCCTGTGTGCAAGATTATCCTCACCAGCTAAAACTGTGCAGAGCACATTTAGTAGTTCACAGCTTCTTACAGCTTGCAAAACCCGAGGCTCAGAACAGTGACTGTTTAGGTGGTTGCACAACCCCATTTCTTCAATTCCTGATTTCAAAAGCTCGTGTCTCTACGATAGCAGAGGTCTGGAGCCTTGCAACAACACGGCACTTGCCTGTGTAAGTTAACACCATTCCATAGCGTTGCTTCCCACTCCCACATTTCCATTGTTTTTATGGTGATACAGTAGACGTGTTCCAGGGCTGCAGATGGGAGGTGCTCAGAGGAGGCCACTGGACATGGGGCTTATCTTGTATTTTTAATTACATGTGCTGAATTCTAGTGCTGGCCTCTAAATAGCCACATTCAGCTTGTCAACCTTTTTAGGTGACAGTCATGAAATAAATTCAGAAGCCAAACTGGCAGTTTTTGGTGGGATTTATCTCATTATCAGCAGAGTTGCATCTGTGAAATGTATCTCATGTCTAGGATGAGACATCCAGCAGGAGGAAACATTTTTGATCCTTGTTTTCCATGGCTGGGCTGACGATCCCGCTCCAGAGCGCCTGTTTGCCGGCATTCCCGTCCGGAGCATCCTCACGCTCCTTCTCCTGCATCCCCTCCCTGGGAGTGGCGGCCCCAGCTCGGCACCTGATGCGTTGGTTCTGCTAAATGATTTTATGGTTTGAAGAGCTCGGCTGAGCTTACCCAGGGAGGCAGGTGGGATTTCCACTGCTGAAAGGATTTGAATCAGTGCCAAAATGCTTTGCTTTACGTAACGCTTCGGCTGCAAGAAATAATGTTTTATTTTAGAATGCTTATTTCCAACGCAATCTAGATTAGCAAAGTCTGGGGAGAAGTGATTTACGTAGCAAACGTATCAGGCATTAGCGGCTGCTTATATTAATTTTTAAGGTGAATTATTTGAAACACGTGCTTTTTCCAGCAATCAAATATTTCAAAGACCCAGTGTACTTTAGGATGTTTTCATAATATTTCTTAGCTGTTGAGCAGAACAAAATCTATTGCATCTATTGCTGCTTTTATACAGCGCCACGCACAGCGCCCTGCGTTAGAAGGTCTCGATATTTTCTGACATGTCGAAGCGCGCAAGAGCAAAAACCCCTTGTGAGGACAACACATCGCATGTGTTTCTAATGAAAAACCAAATTAAAGGCACTGTATTTCCATAGACATCCTGCTCGGTTGACTTGCAAAGGGAGAAATACCCCGTTAAATCAGTTGCTGGGCCCATGGTGGTGCACAGAGATGGGTCTAAAAGAAGAACTCCTAAGGAAAAAGGCGCTTGTGCCTCAGGCTGGAGAGGGAAACCAGACACAGGTGTTTTGCTTCCATTCTGCAGTAAATTTCATGTAAAAAATGAAAAAAAAAATTTAGCTACTTCCACTAAGGAGCTGGGGGAAAATTATGCCAGATGAGTGTCAGGAGGGGATAAAATACCTTTAATTTTCCATTGCTAACCCACATTTCCAAGACGGGAGTCCAATAAATATTATTTAGCAGAAAATGAGTGCTAAATGATTTTTTTAGCAGAAAATTTTGTGCTCATTTGGCCATGAAAAAAACTGGAGGAGTTTTTGCAAACGTCTCAAACACCTTCCTGAAGCCCGGAGAAGCGCCTTTCCATGTGAGCAAGGGCAGCGGGTAGCACCAGCCTTCTGGCTGGCAGGAAACCCCTTCCAGCAACACGGGCACTGGGCTCCTGGGATGCAAAATATCCCAGGAGAAACTGTGTGACTTCTGCATGTCCCATGCACATCCCTTTCTGGTTAAGCACGTGCTGCAGAAGTGCAGTATGAACCTTTCTGGGGAGCGTAACTACATCAATACAATACTTTGCATTGCCTCTGTGTGCCCGCTTGTCAGAGATGGTCCTAAACGGCAATTTTGCTTAAAATTGGTAGGCATCATCCTTTTTCTTCATTACACAGTCTCATAAACCCGGAGCATATGGATTATATTGCAAGCACAAGGTAGGAGGAAAACCCGGAGCGAGGGAGGAAAAGGAGAACTCTTGCAAAATGTATAAAAATATCCCGGTGGGGTTTCCCATGATAAATCCATGCACGATCCTGGCTGCAGTACTGAGGCGAGTGCTGCTCCAGAGGTGATTCCCACAGGAGTGCTGCCACCCAGGGATGGGGCTTTGAGCCTGTTGCTTGAAATCCTGCACATCAGAATACTCTTCCTCCTCTGTTAATTACAGCCGCTAATTGAACAAAGCGCACTTCCATCTCCGACGATGCCGCCATTCCCGCCTGGATGTAATTCATGCTCACAGCCCATGGTATTTTTTTTTTAATGTCATTACACGGTAGGGCAAAGTCTTCAATTTTAATAAAAATACAGATGCTGGAATGAAATGGATTAATATCTAATTTATACATCTTCATTTACATGATGTGCAAAATTATCTTAAATATTTGTTATGGATGAAGCAGCTTTCCACCAATTTCGGCTTTTTTTTCTGTCCTAGAGAATGTTAACATAAATTGTAGCATAAATCATTGCCTTGTAGAGTACCAGAAGGCGCATATAAAAACCCATATCTTTACTGCACATATTTCCCATTAACCATAATCTATTAGTAATTGAAGTTCATTACAAATTCTTGTAGACTTTATTGCTATCATGCTGCATGACATAGTGAACCTGGCTTGCATAACAAGAAGTCCTTGCTGGGAAATATCCTATTAACAATGACAGTGCATTTGTCACTGTGATAATAAATCCAAGAGCTGCCTGCAGATTATAAATTATTGCGGCGCCATTTCCACCGCCGTCGTTGAAAAGTTTTGTCAGCACTTCCATGGCAAACGCCCGTTTCTGGACCATAACAGCCTGCAAGGAGCTGCAATTCGGCTTGCAAGGTCTCAGCCTGTAGTGTCTTTGCTCCCCTAGTGCGGTTCGTATTTCACCCACATTAAAACCTGAGAAGCTGAAGCCTCTCCCCAAGGGGGAAGCTGCAGCACACGGATGTTTCCTATTTTGAGGATTAATAGCTAAAGCCGAAGTTCTGGCATCTGCTCGAGTCATCCTTCATCATGTCTGTGAAAGTCTTTGAGCTCTGTGTGCGTTTTAAGTGTTATTAAAAGAAAATTGCCAAAGAGTTGAACTTTAAGTGTTAATTATGGCTCAAGATGTAGATGACATCGGGTCAAATCTTTCA